AGAGCTGGTTTGGTGTTTGCAAATTCTTTCAGTTTTTGTTTGTCCTGGAAGCTTTTTATCTCTCCTTCTATTTTCAGTGATAGCCTAGCTGGATATAGTATTCTTGGCTGCATGTTTTTCTCGTTTAGTACTCTGAATATATCATGCCAGCTCTTTCTGGCCTGCCAGGTCTCTGTGGATAAGTCTGCTGCCAATCTAATATTTTTACCATTGTATGTTACAGACTTCTTTTCCCGGGCTGCTTTCAGGATTTTCTCTTTGTCACTAAGACTTGTAAATTTTACTATTAGATGACGGGGTGTGGACCTATTCTTGTTGATTTTGAGGGGGGTTCTCTGCACCTCCTGGATTTTGATGCTTGTTCCCTTTGTGGCTGATCTTTCATGAGCTTGTTGCTGTCTGTGTGTTCTCTTCAGTGAAAAATATGTTCATGTCTTTTATGCATTTTCTAATTTTTTTTAAAATAAACTGTTAAGAGTCTTTATACAGTCTAGATACTAATCCTTTGTCAGATTGTGGTTTGCAAATATTTTATTCCACTTGTAGCTTGCCTTCTCATCACCTGAACAGGGTCTTTTGCAAAACAAAAGTTTTTTGAGGTGCAATTGATCAGTCTTTCCTTTTCCTTTTTTTTCCGAGTCTGATGCTTTTGGTGTCAAATCTAAGAATTCTTTTTCTACCCCTACGTCCTGAAGATTTTCTCCTATGTTATGTTTTTCAAAAATGGTATAGTTTGACATTTTATACTTAAGCCCATGGTCCATTTTGCAATCATGTTTGTGTGAATTTAGGTTGAAGTTCATTTTCTATGTTTTTTTCTGTTTTCCTTTGCCTGTGAGTGGTCATCTCTCCACTGCCATGTGCTGAAAACACTATTCTTTCTCTAGTAAGCTGCTTTTGCATCTTTGCCAAAAATCAGTTGGTTGTATTTGTGTGGGTCTGTTTCTGGATTCTCTTTTCTATTCCATTGATCAATGTTTACTCGTCTGCTAATACACATAGTTATGATTACTGCTGCTACATACTAAGTGCTCTTCCTTTCAACTACTTTTCAAAATTGTTTTAGCTCTTCTAGGACTTAAAACCTTCCATATAAATTTTAGAATAAGTTTGTCTGTGTCTAAAAAATTCCAAGATGGGATTTTGACAGGGATTACATGAAACCTATAGATACACTGGAGAAATTGACTTCTCGACTATGATGAGTCTTCTAGTCTGCGAACACACAGTGCTTTTTTTTTTTAAATTTCTTTCATCATCGTTTTTATAAATTTTAGCATATAGATACTGCCTATGTTTTAAGTGTATGCCTAAGTATTTCATTTTCTTTGCAGTAATTATAAATAGTACTGTGTTTTTAATTTTGGTTTCCACATGTTCATTGTTAGTGTATTGATTTTTTTGTGTTGATCTTATATCCTGTGACCTTGAATTTGCTGAACTCACTTATTTGTTCCAAAAGGCTTTTTTGTAGATCAATTGGGATTTTCTATATAGGCAATCATGGTATTTGCAACTAGAGAGAGTTGCATTTCTTTTTTTTTAATTCTTTTTCCTGCCTTACTATTGTGGTTTAGGAATTCCAATATTATGTTAATTAGAAAAGGTCAGAGTGGACATTCTTACCTGGTTCCCAGTTGTGGGGGAAAAGCATTCCGTCTTTTACTGTTAAGTAAGATATTATCTGCAGGTTTTTGTAAATTCTCTCTTTCTTTATACTAACTTTCTTTCTTTCCTTCTTTCTTCTTCCTTCTGCCCGCCTGCCTGCCTGCCTGCCTGTCTGCCTTCCTTCTTTCCTTCCCTCCCTTCCTTTAGCTCTAGGCCCAATGTGGGGCTTGAACTCATGACACTGAGGTCAAGAGATGTGTGCTGTACTGACTAAGACAACGAGGCCCCCCCCATAAATTTCTTTGTCAAGTTAGGGAAGATCCCCCCCATTCCTAGTTTGCTAAGGATTTTTATCATGAATGGGCATTGCATTTTTTCAAAATTTTTTTTATTATTCTGTGTCAATTGATGTAGCTATATGATCTTTCTTTCTTCTTTGGGCTATTGAAAGGTTAGAGTACACTGATTGATTTCCTAATGTTGAACAAGTCTTGCATACCTAGAATTAGTCCTACTTGGTCATGGTGTATAATTATTATAAAGACTGTTAGGCTTGATTTGCTAACATTTTATTGAGGATTTTTGTGTCCAAATTCACGATAAACATTGCTTGGTGGTTTTCCTTTCTTTCTCTGGTTTTGGTATCATGTTAAAACTAATCTCATGGGGCACCTCGGTGGCTCAGTGGCTTAAAGCCTCTGCCTTTGGCTCAGGTCATGATCCCAGGGTCCTGGGATCGAGCCCCGCATTGGGCTCTCTGCTCAGCAGGGAGCCTGCTTCCCCCTCTCTCTCTGCCTGCCTCTCTGCCTACTTGTGATCTCTGTCTCTGTCAAAAAAATAAATAAAATCTTTAAAAAAAAACCCTAATCTCATAAAACGAGTTGGGGAGTGCTTTCTTCTATTTTATTAGAAGAGATTTTGTAAGAAATTTTACAATTTTCAAAATGTTGACAACTAATTTAAATTATGTTTAAACATCCCGTGAGCCAAAATGATGCTCCTGCTGGCTGGGGTTGGCTCAGGCCCTACCTCTTCGTAACCTCTAACTTAAAGGAATGTTCTATCTTGTGTTTTAGAGTGAAGAAGACCATGGCCATTGGTTCAGTGCCTTCCATGTGCAGACTCAGTACAGGCACTAGACTCTGGGCCTTTAGTTCTGCTGATTAACAAACCAAGCGGCTCAGAATTGGTACCTTCTCTGAACACTTGCAGGTCTGTGGGCCCCAAACCACCAGCAAGCTCCACTCCTGGCTGCAAATACAACAGAGCACTGGTTCTCAGTGCGGGTGTTTGCCACCCCAGGACATTTGTCCATGTCTGCAGGCAGGTTTGGTACCACAGCTACAGAATGGAGGTACTGCTGGTAACTAGTAGGGGTCACAGGGACAGCCCCACAACAGAATTATTCTTCTCAAAATGTCAAAGGTGCCAAGGCTGAGAAAATGTAGAACAGAGGAACATTTGTCTTACCTACTTGAAGAGACCTCCTTGGGGTGGTGGCTAAACTTCTTGAATCCAAGATGAATTTCTACGTGAATACAGGCAAATTAAAGGGGCTTACATGTTTTCTTCACATTTACTAAATGGCACTGTCCAGAATTGGAGGCTGGTTTACTCAGGAGAGACTCAGAGAGATGGAATTGCAAGGTCAAATAAAGGGCGTTTTCAAAACTCTTGTTATGGAACTAGATCTAGCTCTCTCTATATCTACGTACAAAGTACTTTCCAGAAAGGTGATGCAAATTTATACTTTCCTCATCAGGGTACAAGGGGGTTCAAATCTTACTATATCCTTGCAAGTAATGAATATAGTTCAGTATTTCAGATCTTTACTTCTCAAATCCTGCTAGACCCCAACCCTGTCCTCCCTCTCCAGTTCCCTCCCAGAGCAGACAGGAGCTGTCTTCCTGCCATTGCGAATTCTCACAACTGCAGCCTCATTCATACATGGCCCGGTGGGGCAGGACAGCATTACCTCCAGGGTCAGGTCAAGGTTTGCCTTCCACAGAGAAACAAGGGGGATGAAGCACAAGTACATGCAGCTACAGGATTGGGGCTCCCCCATGGGGCTGGTGTTCCAGACTCATCTTTCCACTGTCTCCCAAACATCCACTGTCACCCCACATTCCTCAAACCTGAACCAAGCTCCTCTTCCCCATCCTTTTCTCCTCCTGTGTCCCCCACTCCCAAAAACCATGATCATCTAACCTACCATCCAATACAGGAATCTGGGGGTCACCTCTGACTCCACTCACTCCCATTCTCCCCATTTAATAAGTCGCTCTATGATTTGTAACTAATAAATGAATGGCCTGGCCATTTAGCCTTTCAAGTTTCTATATAATTAGGATAATTAGGACTTTTTTTTTTTTCAGTTGTGAGACCCAGAAAGCTATCTCCAATGACCATAAGCAGAGAAGGCTTATTTGGCTTATAGAATTAGGAAGTCCCAAGAGAGGGTCTCTCCTCAGCAGTCCCTGAGTGCAGATGTTCAGAAGAGGACGCTGGAGCTCTGTCTTCTCTGGCTCTTGCTCTGCTCTCCTTCTGGGTGATGCCTGGGTGCTCAGGGAGGGGCCCTCAGCCTGGGAGAAACAAGATAGAACAAAACAAAATTTAAAAACCGCACTGGCTGTTCCAGGCATCTAGACTTCCTCCTGTTAATGGTCCATCCTGGTGATCAGCACGGTCTGAGGTCTGGCCCTGATGGTGTCACATGCCCTGTCTGGGACCGGTCACTGCGCCACCGGATGTGGACACTCTGATTGGCCAGCCTGAGTTATGCAAGGGAAAGGTGGGCCCCAGGGGGGGTGACGGCCCAATCCCTGTCAGAGCACTTTCTCGAAAGATGGACATGTAACACATACCCAAGATGTAGTTTTTTTCCTAACAGTTTTTTTTTCCCCTCCCCACCCCCACCGCACACCCTATTACCCCACACCTGGATCAGGGCAGACTGCCCCAAACCAGTTTCTCGGCCTCCATGCTTCCTTCCCCCCAACCGCATCCATGCCCCCAGGCCTCCCCCAGAGCTCTTCCTCTGTGTAGATGCCCTTGGAGGTCCCAGCATTCTGCTTACAAGTGAACTCACACAAGGAAAGACAGGGGTCTGGAGGACTCGTCTGTCCAGAGATGGAAGACTGGGCACCAAGGACCAGCCACGTCATCAGGGCAAAGGATGAGGACAGGCCTGCCCAGGGCCCACCCTTGCCATCTTCCTACACCCTCAGGCTGCATGTGCCTTTCCCTCTGGTGACTAAAGACCCCTGGTAGCCGTGGGCAGGGTGGGAGTGCAGCCAGCAGGAATAGAAACCAGCCAAGGCTGTCCCTCTGGTGCCTCAGGGGTTTTCTGTTCGCTGTGGCCCCTCCTAATGGTGAGACTCCTTTGCTTTCAGCAAGAGAACTCCAGCTTGCCTGATGTCGTCCTGTGGCCTCCGAAGCCTGAGCCTGTGCAGGTACCGGGGTGTGTGCTGTGCGTGTCTGCTTCTCGGCTCCTTCCTAACACCTCGGTGTTTGCACACCGTGTGTGTGGTGTGTTCCTTTAAATTCTTAGGTTTTCTCCACCCTCTCCCATTGCCTCCTTTCACCTACCTCCACCGACTTGTAAAATGCAGCAGAATCTGCAGTCGATGTTTAGATTTTGTAAGATAACATTTTGGTGGGCCTGCGTGAGAAGTGGCCCAGCTACTAGGCTGCGAGAAGCTCAACAAAGCTCCCGTTCTTGATGTCATGCAGACGCTGGGAGCCCGCACTAACCTTCCACGCTCCTGGGCTTTGCTCTCCCTTGCCCCGGCGTGAGGCTTTGTATGGGACAGTGACTCGTGGCCCCGTCTTCCCCTTGGTGGGTAGAACTGATGTGTCGCAAGAAAAGATCACATTGGCAATCAGCCGTCTGAGTCGTCAGGTCCCCTGGCTGAGTCCCAGAGTTTTTGGTTTGGCTGAAGTGTTTGCCATCTCCTGGGGAGAAGGGTAAATTAGGAGCTTCGCAACCATTTCAAGGAGATTTTTCCTGGAGAGAATGTCAGGCCCAGTTGGTGTGCACTTGTGGGTGTGGTCAAGGTGCGACAATAAAATGCCACTCGCTCTGAAATCCTGCCCCACCAGGGAGGGGTGTGAGGCCCGGGGTGGTATGTTCCTGGCTTGAAGAAAAGAGCCTGGGGGCTCAGTTGGTGAAGCTTCCGACTCTTGGATTTGGCTCAGGTCATGATCTCAGGGTCGTGAGATCGAGCCCTGCGGAGTCTGCTTGAGATTCTCTCTCTCCCTTCCCCACCAGTGCTTGCTCAAGTGCTCTCTCCCTCTCTCTCTCTCAAATAAATAAATAAATAAATAAAATCTTTAAAAAAATAAAAGAGCTGCTCCATCCCCAAGGGTGGCTGCCTGGTAGGTCTGATCAGTGCCCCTGTTTCTCTCTATATCCCACCAGTGACGTTGCAAACTGACCTCTGTGCTCCAGCAGCCAAAGACAGAGATTGGGGACAAAGAGGAACAGTCATTTTTGTTACTTTGCCAGGCAAAGGCGGCTGCTGCGGGCTAATGCTTTCAGCACTGCAGACCTGGGCCTGAGTAGCAGGTCGATGGGTTTTACAGGAAAATACAGGATCTGGGCCGTTCCAGTAGGAAGGGGGTGCGTGCTGTCCGCCGCAGGGGCATGTCCTCCAGGTGGTCTCCTGATGCGCGCTGGCGCCTGCTGATGGAGGGAAGATGTTAGGGTTTGAAGCTGACGGCCAAGAAAGAATTCTTGAGATGTCTTTGGTGCAAAAAGGTGATTTTATTAAAGCACAGGGAGAGGACCCATGAGCCAGAAGAGCTACGCTGGGGTCATGAGGAGTGGCCTATTATATACTTTCAAGTTGGGAGGATAGCCTAAGTCCCTTGGGAATTTTGGAAGCAATCAGGTGTATATCTGTGGGTCATATGCTTGGGGGATGATTGTTAACACGTATCTTGGGGGTTTCGAGATAAAGGAAGTTTCCAAAAGAATTTTTATGTGTTAAAGTTGGCTTACAGGATCCTGGGTTTGGCGGGGGGCTAGGAATGCCTTTTGCCCTGAGCGAAGTGTCAACATGGAGGCAGTTGGGTCCCTAGAGGAAGGTCCCTCTTGCCTGTTTCAAGGACTTGTCAATTCTGCCTTTGTTTCCCATATCAGCACCACCCGAGTCTCACTACAGACCATACACTGAGTTTGCCAGATGTCAGTATAGATACTGAGTTCCTGGAACAAAAGATTCTGTAGAAACTGTTCTGCTGGGGTAAAATATACCTACTATGAAATGTACCATGGCAACCATTTTTCCGTGTCCCGTGGGGGTTCAGCGGTGTGAAGTTCCTTCATGTTGTACAGCCAACCCCGCCGTCTGTCTCCAGAAAGTTTTCGTGAAACTTTTGAAATTCCGTACGTATCAGCTGATATCGCCACATTCCCCTCTTTACTCCCAGCCCTCAGCGGCCACCAGACTACTTTCTATCCCTATAAATCTGATGCCACTTGGTACCTCACCCAAGTGGAGTCGCTTTTGTGACTGGTCTGTTTCACTTAACACGATGCCTTCAAGGTTCATCCTCGTTGCGCCGTGTGTGGGGATTTCCTTCCTCTTTAGGTCTGAATAGTACTCCATGATCTAGAGCCCACATTTCCTTCATCTGTTCCTCTGCTGATGGACACGTGGGGTGCTGCCACCATTCAGCTAGTGTGAATAATGCTGCTAGGAACGTGGCTGTGCAAATATGTGTGACTCTACTTCTTTGCAGTCGATATCCAAAAGTGGAATTTGCTGGGTCATAAGTGAATCCTATGTTTCATTTTCAGAAAACCACCAGACTTTTCCACAACGGCAGCACCATTTTACATTCCTGTCAACAATGCACAAGGGTTCTGATTTTTCCACATCCTTGCCAACTCTTGCTTTTGTTTTGTTTTGTTGGTTTTATAATAGCCATCCCAGTGGGTGTGAAGCGGTGTCTCCTTGGGGTTAGAGCCTATTTTTAATCAGAGGAGCCCTCTCTGCAGACCTGATGTGCCCAGAAGGAGACAGCCACATAAAGTTCTGGGAAAAGGAACATTCTGGAAAAGGGAATAGCCTGTGTGACATGTCTGGGAGGGATGAGCTTGTTGTGTTTTGAGATCAGCAAAGAAAGCCAGCGCGGCTGGAGGGGAGTGGGTGAGAGATTATGTCAAGAGTGAGATGAGGGGCGTGGGTGGGGGTGAATCTTGTAGGTCATTATCAGCTTTCCAACTGGGATGCGAAGCCACCAGTGGGTTTTCAGCAGAGGAGTGACATGAGCTGACTTGAGATTTGATTTTTTTACTTTCTATTTTATTTTATTAGTAGTATTTTTTAGAGAGGAACATGCGTGCAAGTGGGGGGGGGGGAGGGGATTGCCAGAAAGAGAGGGAGAGAGAGAATCCTAAGCAGACTCTAGAGCCTGACAAGGGGCCCGATCTCACAAACCCCAGATTATGACCCAAACTGAAACCAAGAGTCAGATGCTTAACCACCTGAGTCACCCAGGTGCCCTGGTTTGAGATTTTAAGAAGAGCTTTGCGGTTGCTATGTAGAGAATGGTCTCTATGGGGCAGAGGGCAGAAATGGAGGAGGGGCCCTAGTTAGGAGGTCATTTAGAAGTCAGAGATGTGGATGGTGATGGCTTGGAATGAGGTGGCAGGGAAGGGAGTCCCTGGATTGGGGATATATTTTGAAGGCAGAGAGGGGTGGGCTCGATGGTGATGGAATTTGGGAGTGGGAAAAAGAGCAGAATCAAGGTTGAGTCCTAGATGTTTGGTCTGAGCTGCTGAGCAGATAGAAACATCCTTTCCTGAGATCAGGAGAATTGGAGGAGGGGCAGGTGTAGGGAGAAGGGGGCGGAATCCAGTGTTCTGGTCTGGCCATCACAGCTGAATGCCTTTAGGTCACTCCAGTGAAATAGGCATTTGGCTGCACAAGAGGTGGAACGCGGGGCGCATGTGGAGTCGAGAGCATGGGTGTTTGCAGCGGTTGAGAACACCTGGGGAGCAAGTGAGGACGGGAGAAGGGACTCGGAACTAATCCCCTGAGATGTCCTTTAATATTTAGGTGTGAGCCTCAGGGTGGGGGGCAGTTTGTGAAGGAGTGGTAGCAGAAGACATAGGAAAATGAGGGACCTGGGAGATCTGTGGAGGAGAGGGTCAAGAGAAGGCAGAGGCATCAGAGGTTCCGGAGAAATCAAGGAGCAGACACCTCCCCAATGACTTGGCAACGTGACGGCCATCAGTGCGAGGGAAAGCTCATATTGCTCTCCAACCCTTGATAAGCATTTCCAGTGGAATGACAGGGATGCAGTTTGGCTGGGGGAGGCCTGAAGAGGGAATTGGAGATAAGAAAGTAGAGAGAGGGGTGCAGATGATGCAGTAAGTTTTTCTAGGATAGGAAAGGGAGCGAATACTGGGACAGTAGCTAGTAGAGGGAGTTGCCCGAGGGTTTAAAGATCGAAGATCCTAGATGTCTGCCTGCTGGTGGGAATGAGGGAGAGAGGCAGAGGTCGATGGAGGACCGGTGATTGAAGGGTGAACGAAGGAAGGCTGACCTTGACTGTTGAGAGGTATTGGAGCAGACCTGGGCTTACAGGAGTGGTCCCTTGCCATTGTGGATGGTGGAGAGAAGATGGAAGGAGATCCACCTGGGAATTGTGAGGATGGAGGAGGGGAGGGGAGGCAGCTCTCTTCTGATGGCTGATTGGGGTGCACATGCGGCAGATGGTTGGGGGTCCGCTGAGGCAGGGGTATACTGAGCTGCATGGGAGTTGGGGGATGGCAGGTGCCTAAGGAGAACGGACCTTCATGCAGTCACCGAGAGAAGCAGGGATAGGAGGCCTGATAAGAGGACTTCTCTTCCTAGTCTCTTGGCAGGGGGCCTGCAAACTATCTTAATGATTTTTGCTTTTGAAACTTTTTGGCAAGAGCTGATTGTTGAATTGGTGATTGACCTTTTAACCTTAACTCAAGAAGTCAAGTTTAATAACATCACAATTGTCCAGGATCTGGATTCTGCTGACCGGTCAGTTATTTCTTCTTTGATCCACACGAACCCTATTTAAACTCTGAAATTTAGGAATATGGCCTGGAACTTTCTTTTCTTCTTCTTCTTTTTTTTTTTTTTTTCTTTTCTTCCTGTGCTCTGAAGAGAACAGAAGCCATTGGCGGGGAAAGTTTACACAAGTAGGCTGGACTGAGTCTATCCACTTACTGAAGTTTCCTCCTCATGAGCAAGGGCTGTCAGCCCCAGACCAGCCCCTGGGGGACGCCTGCTGTTGCACGCTGGGTCCTGGGTCCTCGTTGTCACTCCTGCTCCGTCCCTCCGGCAACTGAGTCACGGAGGCCTCAAAGCTGCTCTTGGGGAGCACAGGGCAGCACCGTTACTAACATGCACGGCCGTGACTCACACCCAGACCCCAGGCGGCTCCTTCCTGGCAGCTCTCGTTC